TCCTAGTAATCACAAGGTAGCGCTTTCCACCTGCCTGCATGTCAAAACATCTTTAAGTAAACACTAAACTTGATTGGCTCCTGATATTTGGTACGTGTGTGTTTGCATTAGTTAATAAAATGTGTATGAACTTTTTGGTTTCTTTTAATCAAGGTTGAATTATTCTGAAGCATTCAGCAGCTTGCTGGAATCATTTTTTTCAGTTTATTTCATTTGGAGATCTGCTCTGCAGGTGTTAAGCCATGAATTTAATTCACAAAAGGCCCTTTTGTAAAAGGTAGTAATGTTATTACACTTGCATTAGACTATTGTGTGAGAATGTGTTTTTTTAATCTTTTTACAGGGATCTTTAGTCAGGAAGCTCCTCATCAAGTGATGATGAGCCAAAAAATTAAACTTTTGTATAAGTGTGTCATTTTTAAATGGGTTAATCCAGCAATTCACTGTCTGGCACTTATCTATCCACAGGTGGCATTTGTTAAATTGCTGTTAAAGTCTCAAAAAATCTTGAATTCACCTTTTGTGAACCCAAAAGAAGCCTTTTGGTTCCTTTCATCTGACTTAGATATGGCCACCAAATGTATGTAGCAAAGTAGCAAAGGCTGTTTATTGTCAGAAGCTGCTGGCATCACAGAGATAAGCACAAGGTGTCCTTTGGCACTGGTTCTTATAGGAAGGCTGGAGGTGTGTTGGTGGCTTTAGTCACAATTGTCTCAGCCAGGAGATTTTTCAAAGTCACTCACTGCATTTAGGGAGGTCTGTGCTTTGTTTTCAGTCAGCGATTAGCTTCAGTTTTAACCCTTTTTTTGATTATGTTCAGGCACCACAGCTAACCTGTGGTTTGAAGTAAATATCATCCAATGTTAGCCCAGCACTAAAAGAAATAACACTTCAAAATATGCTTCATGGCAAGGGGTCAAGCGCTTATGAATCGACACCAAAAGATACCTAGTATCTCTTTGACAAAATGGAAAAATTTGGTTTCCTCGGAGTGAAAACTGTGTGCTTTATTCTGACTTTTAGCCTCTGATTTGATTCCTTAAAAAACTTCCGAAAACACTGCAAAAAAAGCAAAAAGTAGCATCTTACCAGCAGACCTACCCTGCCTGATAATAGAGAAGAATTCTGAAGACAGAGTAGTGCTTCTCACAGGTACTGACCTTTCTGTTAGGAATTACCGTAAAATGCACTTCAGACATTTGTGTTGCACAGCATTATTTTGCTACTGTTTGATTATCTCCTTGCAAAAAGCTGCAGGCTTCATTATCTATTGTATGTATACTAAATTTAAGACCATGCTTTTGCAGAACATCCTCTGCAGTAAGCACAGAGAGATAAAAATAAAAACTAGTGTTGAGTAGTGTACTTAATGCAGGCAACATGAAATGCAACCAACCATAACAGCTGATACTGTAGGTATTATAGGATTTTTGGTTTCTCTCTGACATTTTTGTGATAGGTCTCGGTGCTTACTCTGGGTGAATTTTTCTACCTGTTAAATAAAACTCTCCCTCGGTGTGCAGAGGCGGCTGAGACCCTGCATGTTTCCTGGTGGATGTGTCAAACGGAAGACAGCAGGGAGCAAGGTGAGGGCAGCAAGGTGTGGGGTGGGGAGTGAGCGAGGGAGGGGAGAGGAGACAGGACGGTTCGCAGGCCATTTAGTGGGTGCATGTTCATTAGCATGGAGCATGGGCTGTTCCCTCTCCTCGGGGAATAAGCCGCGCTATCTGACATCCTCGATACAGTAAACAAACTGCGCCTTGCACATCCCTGCTTCGCACACCCCAACACACAGCAACGGCTTGCTCTGTGAAGACGAGTCCATTTTAAGAGAGCGCTCAACTGAAACACAACTTTTCTCATTAATTAGTTTCATTGTAGCTCCGCTGCTAAGATGTCCCGGTGCTAAGCGAACGCAGCTTAAATAAGGTCTTGTTTTTTAGGCCGAGATCTGCCCGCGTCGCTCGTCTTAGACCCTTCGACTCGACTTATTACGCCCTCGCAGCTTTAAGAAATTCTGAACTCTCCGCTCGTCTTTTATCAAAATCATTCAAGTTCAGAGCATGACTAGTGAGATTGATGGAAAATTGAGCTGCTCCCTCATGCAGCAAAGAACAGTGGAGCCATTCCCTCACCCGCCACTCCTCCATCAGTCCAAATGTGCACAGATATAGACTATTGATAAATGCCTCTGAACTATTCTGAGACTAGAAATTTAAAGGCTTCAAATTTTGCCATGTTCTTCTGTGGTGCACGGATAAATCTGGCTAAGTGCTAGACAGTGATACTCTCTGACACCTGAGGCAGCCACGTATTTCTCTGCATGGGGACACCGGGCGCCAATTTATCTCCAGACTTGTGTCTATTTCTGATGATTGAGCTCTATAACTTCCAGAAATGGCCTCTTAAATCAGACTGTATTTTACAGTGTGTGAACCCTCGCTGAAATTGCAGACAGTGTCTACTGTTTCATGGTGAAATAACTGTCTTAAAACATTTTTCAACATCGCTCACTCAAGGGGCAGCTACATCAGCTATCGAAGCGCTAGAAATATCCACGTAACGAGCTTGGTTCAACAGTGTAACACCACAAATGTATGCTTAGACAGAAGTGTGACTTTAGATATTTTTATTAATTAAACGACTGTTTTAAAGTCCCGAGCCAGCCCTAGTTTCTTTATATTTTATTTTCAATGAGCCAGATTTTCTAGTAATTTTATTAAAGTCTTGAGCGATCGTTCTCCAGACTTTCTGATGGTCTCACTCACCAAACTTAAGAGATGAATCACTGTTGTGTCTACATACAACAGACAACTTAGTTTCTAGCAGCCTGTCACAAAAATGCATAATTTGTTCCCATTTCTTAGTTAAATCTATGAAAAATGCAAAGATAGCACAGTATGACAGGATCAACAGTATATGACAGTGTTTGTGCACCAGTGATTCCTAATGAGACTTGGCATATCTCAGCGTGGTGTGCGCTGTGTCCTTAAAAACCTGGACAAACAGAGGGCAACAGAAGGAGTGGCGGGCCTAAACTCCCTACAGCAGATAAATAGTAAGTCGTGTCCTTAAGAAACAGAAAAAAATCCAGCAAAAACCTCACACAGGACCAGATACGTGCATCTGGCCCTTTTGGACACAGGGAGAAAGGCTAATGTCTTATACAGGCTAAGCCTACTCTTGAAGCCACTGAGGTGTTCGTTGGCGAGGGTGATGCGATGTCTCTGGTATGAATTAACTTATTAAACTTGATACAGTCCAATAACTTCAGCCGTACTCATCTTGTCCTTTAGATTCTTTAATTCCACGATTAACATAGCAGCGCAGGGGTTACAAACTATTTGCCTGCTTCCGATCAAAAACACATCTGCCACTAATTACGGTCACTCAAAAAGTGACCTCTAGCGGCATACATAAGGTATCAATCCAAAATTGGCTCCTACAGGTCTTATGGAGTGATGAATCCAACAGTTGACATTTTTGGTTGAAATCATGGTCAATATTTATGGAGGAAGTCAAGTGAGAGGTGCAACAGTGAGTCTGCAGCCAGCCCTGTCATGGTTTGGAGCATTTCAGCCAGAGGTATTGAGATATTCCTAAAACTGATGGAATTATGAATGCAGAAAAATATAGTCAGATTTTAATCCACCTGGAAAGTATCTGATTGACAACAGCTTCATTTTTCACACTGCCAATGTAGTAAAAGCATACTGGAATAGAAACACACAGTGGCACACTATCAATCACAGATTAGCCTCCCCAGAGTCTGGACCTCAACATCATTGAAGCAGTGTGGGATCATCTTGATAGAGAGTAGAACAAAAAGGCAGCCAACATCCAAAGAAGAGCTTTGAATGTCGTTCAAGAACCTGGAGATCTATTCCTGAGACTACTTAGAGATATTAAAACAAAGTTAAGAATAAAGCTGTTGATACCAAATATTGACTTTCAAGCTTGTAGTAACAGTACAGAAACTATATTTCTGTCTTATGTTCGGTATTTGGATTTTTGTTTGCATGTTTCAGTAACTGCTGCACCTATTTCATGCTATCCTAGCAAAATATAAAGAAATAAAGGGTGAGCTGAGACTTTTGCGAGGTTCTTATTCACTCATTCTTTATCTATGCTGCCCTCATGTCTGTACATGTTACATTCAGGAGCGAGTTAACTTTAGTTAGCACAAAGAACAAGTTACCGCAGAACTCAGAGAAGTAGCCTGGCACACAGTCCCTGTAAATTCACAGTACTTGAATTTGGTTAATTAGTGGAATTTTGTTACCGTAGGCCACAGTAGCCCACCCCCAGCCCCTCATTTACAGGCTTTATGCTAAGTTAAACTAACAGGCTGCAGCCTGTAGCTTGTTATTTACCATGCAGTCACAACAGTGATATCGATTTTCTCATCTAACTGTTGGCGAGAAAGCCCATCTGCCTATTCCCCCAAAATGTTAAACGTCAGTGTTAAATGTAATATGTGAATGGGTTTGGGTTTGAATTTGAATTAACAGGTGCTTAATTTTAAACGGTTTTATAAAACAACCGCATTATAATGCCGCAGATACAGCCTGGAAGGATATTGGTGAGGAAAAATGAAACATTGCTCTGAGTAAAAAGCATCAGTTTGGTTATTAGCAGGCTGAATCAAACTAAACTGAAATGATTTATAGCTTATTTTAAGGATTTAAGCAACATATTGTGAACAGTTTACCTTCCTCTCTGGACCAGCTTGTGCTGTTTTATCATCTATTTTTCATTGGCAAATAACATAAGCTTGCTTTTTTTTCTCAGCAGCTTTTTCAAGAGTTTCCACTCTGTGGTTAGGTCATGCTAAAATGCTCTGAGACAAAACAAACCAATTTCGTTTATTTTGGCAGCCTAATGATATAATAGCCACAGCTTCCAGTGCTGTCCACGTCTCTGTGAAGGTATTAGTTTTGTTGCTGCCTGAGAGGGTTTGCTGATCATGAAATTATTTACGGTTATTGTCCTCTTTTTAGACTCCAGAGCCGGGGAGGGGGCACCGCAGAAAATTGACCACGCTGTCATCGGTGGAGTGGTTGCTGTGGTGATGTTTGCCATCCTCTGCGCGCTCATTGTTCTTGGTCGATACTTTGCCAGACACAAAGGTAAAGCACCGGCAGGGCAATCATACTTGATCATGAACACATCTTAAGCGTTCAAGTGGGTTTTTTTTTGTTGCTTTTTCTTTGTTGCCGATGGAGTACAATGGGACTGAAGTGAACAAGAGAGTGACGAGGCGGCATGCAGCTAATTTGCGTGCGCTCTTTTGCAGGAACTTACTTCACGCATGAAGCCAAAGGGGCGGACGACGCAGCCGATGCGGATACGGCCATCATCAACGCGGAGGGGGGACACAACAACACAGACGAGAAGAAGGAGTATTATATTTAAACTGGACAGGCCAGGAGAGACGGGTGGGGATGCTGGTGGTTGTGATAGTGGTTGTGGTGGTGCTGTAGGAGCATTGTGTCTAACTCTGATTGGTTGAAGATGACTTAAAGGCAGGGAGGGCAATATTTAAAGGGAAGGAGAAGAAAGAAAAAGGCGGGAAAAGTTGGACTGACGTGGTGGCCAAGTGGTAAGAAGAAGAGGTGTTGCTGAGTGTCCTATTCGACCCTTCCTGGACAGCTGGGGCCTATTCTGTACAGTTCAGTTATTTTACAGACAATTTTGTGCCTTGTTCTCTTTCTTTTGTTTGTTTCATTGTTTTCCCCTCACACGCCGGTTGAATTGGATTCGTTTTTTTGTCTTTTATCATGTACTCCACTTGATCTTTTGTTGCATTTGGCTTCGTCTATGTGTGCCGCAGCTAGCTTTGAGCTCATGTACCCAGATACAGCGTGATGAGCCTGCTCCTCAGTGCTTTTTTCTTTTTTTTTGGAGCAATCTACAGAGTTCATTAACTGGAATACGGTGTCAACACATTTCTCCCCGCTGGGTCAAAGTCCAACAGTGCCTGCAAGTTCATCAGAGGCCCCCCCTCCTCCCCACATTCCCTCGTACAGGCAGGTCTGATTGGGTTTCAAGTATTACAGCGCAGATTTCCCTCAGCCCCTTTGAGGTCAGGTTCACTGTGTCGATTACTTATATAACAGTCGTGAGTAATTTTGCTCATCATAGAATGTATTTGTACATGAAGGTGATGTAAAAGTGGCGGTACGTACCATTTCGCACCAAACCACACAGTACAACCAATCTTTTGTGGTTTCTGACGATTAGTCGCTAAGAGGCTTTTGCCCAACTCCACCTACGATATCTCGGCAGCTGTAATGTGCCATGATATACAGTTCTAAGTTCTATATAGCCCTTTCTGTCATTTCTGATTGGGATACATAAATAATGAATCTATAATAGAGAGAGAATAACTCTACACAATGCCTTTTGCTAAGCTTCAGATAAGCTTGATGTCTCTATGATAAATAGAAAACTACAGCCAACAGCCAGCTAGCTTGAGACTTGGCTACCTTGAGCTTCACTGCAGCTTGTAAGTGTAGCTGATTCTACCCCTCTTCAGTAGTTATTGACCCAAAAGACTCTGTTTGCAGGTGTTATTATGGGTCAAACTTTACATTCACACATACACGCCTTACACAAAATAGGTCCTGCTACACTGATCGTAACATTTTATTTAAAGGTATTCATTAGCTGTTGGTATACCCTGCCATGTGTCTGTGCGCTTTTGTTTTAAATATGACATTTGTCACCTTTTCATACCACCCACGTAGTCTACCTTGGACCAAATCTAATAATTATAGTGCGCTTATACAGTATACAGCAAGTATAGCTTGTGTAAAGCATAGAGCTTTGCAGTGAGCTTCTCGCTAAATAACTGACTTTATTTGATGGCACACTATATTGGCCAGTTAACTGGGAGATGTTAAAAGGCCTTGAGTTATTAATTTTCCAAGGTTTTACCCTTTTATTTGCCGTATCTAAGGGAAGAAAGAATATTAGGCCTTCAGTGTTTCCTGCCCATGTAAAATATCCTGGCACGTCTCTGTCAATACAGCACGTGAACAAAAAATTCACAGCTTATTTTTATTTATTTTTTTGCCCTTACCCATACACAAGTATTGCTGCAAATATGAATGAGTTATATTTTCTTGCTGTGTTTTTAGACATTTCACCTTTGATAACTTGCGAGGGCTCTTGGCCATACAAGTTATCAAAGATTTGCAGATAGCTTTAGACTTGGGGGAAAGATAATTTTCTTACTGTCATCCTGCAGCCACAAACCTTCACAGACGAAGTGTCTGCTGTTAGAAATTTCTCTCTTTTTGTTCGACAACACAAATCGGCAGTGTGCACACGGCGCGCGCTTCATCTCTGACTAGAAGAGGAAAATCCGTTTGGTAATTAGCGAGTGATTTCAGTGTATTGCCTAAAATAATGGAGGGAAAAAAAATCTGTAAATGTATTATGAAAAAGGATAACCACTGCCTTAAACCCACCTCTTGATACTTATCATTATAAAGGAAAAGACTGAAGGACTTAATTTAGTGCCTTCTCCTTTGATTTTGAGGCATATGGTTAGTATCATACAGTATCCTCATGTACACTCTTACAGTATACCTTGTATATATCCGTCCTTTCTAACTTACAGGGCCAATACTCATCCCAGTCGTCTGTCCGCGCACCATAGAGCGGCATCACAATTACAACCTGCAGCATAAAAAAGCTGGAATGAGTTTAAAGCTGGAAAAGAAAAATAGTATTGGCAGCTTCCACTGACTAGAATGTTGTATTCCAGGATATAGTACTTGTCTTAATTAATGACCACAAAAAAAGTGTTATTATCTCAGCTTCACTTCATTTATTATTTATTTGGATATTTTCAAGGACAAGGCTCTGTAGTACTGTATTATCAGAGAGGAATACTGTACTTAAAGCTATAATAAGCTACAATAAAAGTAACTTTTCTGGATTGTAGTTACAGTGTCATGGGAACAGTTATGTGCATGACCTTTTTGTTTTCTGGGATTTGATATTTATCTTAAATGGTGATTGCTGCTTTTAATGGGGCAACGTTAAAAGATCGCCGGAAGCATCGTTCTAATTCCGTTTTTGATTTTGTTATTTTGAAATACTTGATATTGAGTATGTTTGTTTTCACTCTCTCAGGTTCATGAGTGTTAATAGTTGTGTTTTTTTGCATCTCAGGTAGAATGCAAATTTATGGCCCCAAGTATATACTGTAGTACCACAGCTATTCGAAAAAGTAAAGAAACCACAGGATGTACATGTTTTTCTCAGTTGTACAAGTTTATGTGTTCTTAATATGGTGCACTGTTACAGTAAACGTTAATTATTTTGCATAGACCTAGTTCACAAAGAAAGAAAAACTAGATTTGTTAAGCAGACAAAAATGATGTACAGTCAGTGTCAACAAAATCACGATGATGTTCATGAAACCTCTTCTTCTTCTTCCTCCTCCACTGTAACATTTTGCTCATGCAGTATCGGTTATTTAGTAATTATAGGATGTGACCACAGACAGTCAATCAAGCATCTGTTTGCATTCATAGATGAAGATGGTGTATTTACTGTGACATGAAGTTTTATCAACGATCTGTAACGTCTTGGATATTTGGATGAACTTTATGTTTAAAGCCTGGGGCGGCGGCGTGGGGAAGGGTCGGGAGCAGGGTGGGTGGGTCGCTTGTTTTATAACCCCACAATGGTTGTTTATGTTGTTGAATCTTAAATTTCTCTCTATTCCCAGGTGGCATATTTTCTTTTGTGTAGTGAAGAGGATGTTTCTCATATGGCCATGCATATTTTGTATTGGTTCACGCCAACATTTTTACAAAAGGAAAAAAAAAAATCAGAAGAGTACTTGTCTTAATAAAAAGATATCAATGTTTAAAGTGGTGTGCCGCTGTGACTTGATCAAAAAACATGGTTTCACTTTGTAGTCTTGTCCTGCTCGGAGACGGCGCTGAATTTATTAACTCGTATCTGTTGTCAAATTCACTCCGCCTGTTTACCATGCTGAATACATTAGCTGGATTGAACCTGCCTGCCTCATCCTGCGCTGCTGATACTCGTCAAACTCACAAAGGAAGAAAGGTCTCGCGTCGAGGCAAAAATACTGTACAGATGCAGATTCGTCGTGGGTGAGCAGCAGCAGTGGCAGCAATCTGATCTCCCATCAGTGACTGACACACGTGGCGTGGCACAGATAGAGGCGAGAAGTGTTTTAAATGACACGATGACTGACATCGACAGGCTTGGGGGCCCCTGTTAAGGGTTCCAGCTGAGCATGTGGATGTTAGTGATTTTGACAAATTGATAGGCATTTTGAGGAACAAGACCTTATTCATAACCATAAGCTATTTCTGTCATCATAATTCTGTCAGTGCCACCATTTCCCATTACTTTAAGTGATCCATCCCAGGTAAAGGTCAATAACATTATTCAAATTTTAATGGGAATAGTTTAACCTTACAAACCAGCCACTTTTCTCCCTTACTCATACAATCACTGCAATATAATGCTTCTCTCAAAGAACATTAGCCGTGTATTGATTTTTTTTCTGTGTGAAATATAGCAGATTATGGGATTTTCTCCATATTTATTCTCGAGGTTAAGCCGTCTAAATTAAAGGCAGGTAGGGCGGCTTGCTGGTTGTCTTGGTGATGTTTCAGTTAGATGCTACTAATCCCATTTAAATGTTCAATTTTAATTTGGAATGACATGTTTAAGTGTAATTAGCACAATGGGGAAATTGAGAGTGAACGAATGTCTAAGCATGGCTTGTTTAGTTGGGTAATTGATTGATTGAGATTGATGGCATGTAGCACTTGGCATGGATGAGGTATAATTAAATGATGTGGGATTAAATAGTGGGTGAACAAAGGCAAATGCAACAGGCTGCACACTTGTCTCCCTGTAAATCACTCCTGTTTAGCACAAATACTTTGACTTTTTTTTGTCAGATTATTAGCAGGAGGACAAATCTAATCAGAACGGAAACTTTTCAATTGCATTTGTTTAATTCCTTATAAAGAGCTCAATATCTGTTTTATACTGCTGTACCATTTCTTCAGGTGACTCAGGCCATATATATATCTATATATAGATATATAGATATATATACTGTGGGCTGTATCAACCCTTTACATTCTGCAGGAAATTTGTTAGAACACCCCAATTTTTCATCATGTTAAGATAAAATCATCACTATTAAATAATGCTGTCAAACAGTAGCGAATTCCCATGAGTCAATGCCCTTTGTACTAATTTCCTTAAAGGTTATGCAAACAGCATAGAAGGAAAATGTGGAATTTATGCAAGAGTCCGTATGTGCAATTATGTAGAGCAGGAGTAATTTTAAGCCCTTTAGAAGGAGACATGTTCTGATTTTAAACAGTTTTAGTGGATATTGTTATACTACTTGTTTTTTCATTTTCATTTTGGTCAGTGGATAAACCATTTATTCATCATGCTAAATATTTCAGCTAATATTTTAGCTAATTGACTGCGCATTATCTCTTCTCTTTTTCAGCCATTTACTGTATTAACAACTATCAACATAGCATTTAATGCAGTGTTTGGTCTACTGTGACTCATTTGTTTTCCCTCACTATGAAACACAACAAGCAGTGACTCAATATGTGAATATTTTATAGTCTTTCGATCAGAATTAACGTTTTTTTTTTCCTTTTCTTTTTTCTTTTAACTCAAATTAGCTGCAGAACTGTGGGTGATTTGGTGAATATAGCTGCAGAAGCTGGTGCTAAAGTATCTGGTTATAATGTAAATGGAAACACAAAATAAAAGATTAAAAAGTAATAAAGTGAGAAATGCAGGAATAATAAATAACCGGGGGAAAACATGTTTGAGGTGTGACTTAAAGAACGTGACTGACTTCACCACCTTGTCTTAACCATATACTGGATAGGTATTATACACCCCACTCCTCCCACTGAGGCAAATCCTGCCATTGTCATGTTGCAGACAGACATTCATGGTGTTCGTTGGCACCTGTGCCTTTGTACACCAGTGGCACCAATGCTGGGTGATGAGAGGTAATTGTCCTCTTTTAAGAAGCAACAAAGTCTACATTATAGGGTCAAGACAGGAGAGTGCAATTCAAGGTTTTTATACTATGCTTTGCTTTTCTTCCACCTGCTGATTCCTTTTCTGTTCACTTCCTTTTCATTTGTTGGTAAAACGAAAACACAATCATTTGATTAGCTTTTTAAAACACACCCCATCCAAAACATGTGCTAAATTTATACTTACCCATTGTGTTTAAATGTGATGCCCAGGGGGTCTTTTACAAACTGCATATAACAAGCTGGGAGGGAGGGCCTGTTTAATTATAGCCATATACCTTGTGTGTCACAGCACAGATGCCAAAGGGCACCTTGGTATTTGACGCTCTGTCAAAGAAAGCAGCCTGGTAATCCTTACACTTGTAATTTCGCCCGCTGGTGTATTTTTCCTGTTCTCCACAAACCGCAAGTGACTTTTTATCCAAGACCGTTTTAAATTTGTTGATTTTAATCATATAAAAGTACCCTAAAGTCACATTTTAACATTGTAACATTAAAGTAAATAATAACTCACATTGCAATATAAGAGCCTGTATTTATTCTAACGTTTTATACTTTCAGTTGCAGCATATATTTCAGATTTATGCACTGTTGTTGTGGTGACTGTCACTATGGGTAGTGTTGCTATAATAATAAGAAGAAAAAGACTGAGGAATATTTTATTTATCCCAAATGTCAGGTAATTACTATGTTACAGCAGACAGAACATAAAAGCAAGGTAGCTCAGAACAAACACCGCGGGAGGAGCTCAGTTAAAAGAAAACACAAAAAAACTGACGAGCTCAATGAGCTCAGATTCTAAATGGCATATAATAAGGAGCTTTAATTTAAAATTCATGCAGATATTGCAGTATAAGTAAAGATCTTCTGTATCTGTTCTTGTGGAAGCAGAGCTCAAACAGAGACAGTATTCAGCAGCAAGTCCACTGCGTGCTTCAGAGGGTCATCAGAATCCATTAAATATCCACATCCATTCACCACAGCCACAGTCACGTTGACGACCTCTACGTCAGCTGATGGAGGAATACGAACAGTGTGTCTATTCAAACCGGATTCAAACAGCAACAGCGATGACGAATTCCGCTCTTTGAGATGTATGGATGCTTTCCAGCAGCCATCAGTTCAATGTTCAGGCTAGAGAAATGTTCCTTCACAGCTACTGCAAACCCTCCACATTTCTACTTGCTTACACATTTCTTAATGTTGCTGTTTTTCAGTGATCATAATAAGCACTGGAATTGCGCCAAACAAGAGGCGACTGTATTCTTAAGACATCAATATGCGATTTAGTGTTTTCTGCTTTGTATAGAAGAGCAACGTTTTGCTTTTTAAGATAAGTAACATTGTAAAAGTTGCAGGAGAAAGCAGTGTGCAGGAGCCAAAATGCACAAAGTTACTCCACTGTATGCCAAATAGGTTGGTAGAGCAAAAATAAATAAATAAATCAGCTGACTTCTACTGAAAATCTCTAATGTATATAACTTTTTTATGTTTTGGGGGAAATGCCAAGTCATACTCCATGAAACAGATGAGCTGGCTGTTTGAAACAATGGTGAAGGACAAGCACCTGAAGCCTGTGATAACCACAACACAATTATCTCCGACTGCTACAGTATGACCCAGAGAAATCTGCATTAATTAAAGCACACACAACCAGCCTGTTAATCCCGTATGAAAGTGTCAGAGAGAAGAGACTTGTGTTTGTGAGGTGATTAACTCCGAACCGGAAAGATGCTGCGAACAGCACTATAGGCTCTAATGTCAGCGATGTTGCTGCTTGATGTTTAATGCCCTGATACTTAATCAGAGATTGATGTTTACCAGAGGGAGGAAATGTGCTGGATGTTGATGTCGAAGTTTTAGGTGTTATTAATGAGAAAAAGCCATGAAAAAAAAGGGCCTTTCTTACCCTTCGCTCCCCCTCCCCCAAAAAGGTTAAGTGTTTCAGACAGGAAATCTGTAATTATCTGCTGAGCCTAAGCTTCAAGCAGCATCCTGTGAAGTTCCCTCAACCAAATCTCAAGGTGACTCCTCTCTGCAGAGGCACCAAGTTTTCTTTTGCTAAATATACATTGATGTTCCGCTTCATAGCCACCACCCTGATACAATAAGCAAGGCAAACATTTCCCAATCTACTGCTCTTATCTTTTATTCTGCTATGTCTGCATGTAATCTTTCTATCATATTTAGTATTGTTGATGCATAATTAATTTTCATTTAAAGCAAATTCTTAATTTCTGATTATCTTTTAGAGATAGTCGGGTAAAAGAAATACCATTGTTGCCCTACAAAATTTATTTAGTCATCCAGCTCCTTTCATATACACTGCAATGCCTCTATGGATGTTTTTTTTTTTTTGCTTACGTTTTTGTGTGTGCGTTTCTGTTGTCAGCTTATGAAAGCGTTCTATTTTTGTGGGACAGCCTGCTACAGCCTAAAAAAATGTCTGTACAAAGCCTTGAAGTCAGTCACATGGAGCTGGTGAGTTGCTGCAGGAACATTGCCACCTCAATTATTTATCACTGAGTCTATTTTTTCACTTATTAAATTAATTAGTTAGGTAATTAAAAGTTACATGTTTTAATTAAATTGGCATTGAATTCTAACACAGGGCCCCTACCTGAAAGAAAGGCATCGTGGGATGGAGTTCATCAGCTTGAATGAGCTTGAGCTTAAATTCATTCCCATTTGGGAAGATGTGGATAAGTAAAAAAAAAAAAAAAAAGAATTATCTGTTTCATGCTCTGTAACCATTTCAGTCACTGTCTTTGTGAACAGCATTTGGAGATAGTAGCACAGTGCATTGT